ACTAGAGCATAACCTTGGGAATTAATCTGCTTAGTTATTAAGGCAAGAATGTAATTGGATTTTCCTTCTGATAACTTTTCTTGGCTTTCCCGCATTTTCTGTCCCAATCATGAAAGCATGAGGCTGTCTGGGCAAGCACTGGTTTCTTGCGTGTTCTTCACAAGAATAATTAGTGATGTTTCATCAATTACCCTTTGCAGTTTCATAATAGGTTAATTTTTCTGAGAAAATTTTAAAGAACGCTGTTTGTGAAAACTGTTCTTCCATATTTCACAGCTCATTATATTTTAGCTCTTGCTGACCCCTTTTAAAGCCTTATCTACTAGAGTTTAAGTAAAGAATTCTTCATTAAAAGTGGAAAGAAACCTGAGAGCTTCCATTGTGCCACAGGAATGTGCATTAGAGAGGATCTTTGACTGGGTATCCAGTCTCCACTGTGCTTGAAATACAGAATAAATAAACTTGGGGAATAAGTTCCTTGCTCATTTTTATTTCTGATCATAAGTAATTAAAAAAAAAAGATTTGCTATATAATTTCTGGTGCCTTTACTTGATCTACACAATTACACAGTTATGCTTGGTCCTACATTTGATCCAAGGCTTATGGGCTCTTCAGTTTAATTTGTAATTTGTCCATTAATTAAGAGGGAGAAAATGTAGTGTGATGGGTGGAGCTGGGGACCAGGAATCAAAGCTTCTGAGCTCTTCCTGGCTCTGTTCCTGACCTGAGGAAAGTCACTTACACCTTCTGGCCCATATTGTCTTTGGGACTCTCAATATAATTATGTTTAAATGCCCCCAAGCAATGATCTGAAGGCTGATAATGGCAAGATAGAAAGTGCTTCCTTCACAGGCTCCACAGAGATGTTCAGTTGCAGGTTTCAGGTCAAGTCCCCTTTAGGTTCAACCGCTGAGTGGCTCATGTAATTATGGAAGAACATGAGGGTATCTACTCTGTAGTTCTCTATGAAGAAAACATTCAACCAGTCTTTGACTGAGAATGGTTTAGCATCAGTAATGATGAAGAAAACAGAAAGGACTGGCTTGGTTTCTGCAATCCCAATGTGTGTGTGTGCCCCTGGGGCAGGAAGGAAGATCCTTTGCCCTATGGCTGCAAGAGCATTTGCTGTGATTCACTGAGGAGAGGGAACGTCAGTGCCCACCCTGCTGAAACCCTGCACATTAACTATCCTTGCACTTCATTTTCACCTGGATCTCTTTTTTTTTTAAAAAAAAAAAAAAAAAAAATGAGAAAAAAAGCAAACAAAGAAAAACCCCTCTGTAAGAACAAAGAAAATGGAGGAATAATAACCGCTAGGAAATTCCCAGCACATCCCTTTCTGAAGGTTTCTGGAAATTCCACTAGTTGGAGGAAACACTAGCAAGAGACAGCTGAGATAATTTTTCACTGCCAGGACTGCACTCTGTTGTCTCTCCTTTTACAACTCATCGGCAGGCATTATTACCTAGTGAAAAAATTTGTTTTGCAACTCATCCTGAGTCCTCATAAATCATTAATGCCTGGCTAAGCACAGTGTGAGCATTACAAATACTCGGAGAATGAGGGCCCGTTCTGATATAACCTTGTGTCCAATACTAATGCCTGCTAGTTATTTAGTAATACAAAGGGGCCTCGGCGAGAAAGATCGATGAATCAATGCAGTCTCCTGACTTCCTTCTCTTCTCCACCTGCCTCTTCTCTTCCTAGTTCACAAACTGAGCTACAAACAATTCAGGACTGTTAGTAGCCATCTCTCTGTGGAGGGCACGGCAACAAGGCAGGGGGACCAGGAGGGACTTATGGCCTCCAAATGGCTATAGGAAAAAGAGGGGCTTCGGTTTCTGATTAGGGCTTGTTCTGATTTCTGCTTTTTTTTTATGAGCCACATCGCAGCACTGCTCCAGACCTGTGTTTTCTGGTTTGCATCCCTTAATGAATGCATGCAGTATAAAGCACAATGAAGTGTGTAAAGAGCGTAGATAGAAACTGTGCCCAGGAACTGCAGGACTGGATGTAATTAAAGGGAGCTCAGTAAAGTCCAAGTAATCAGCCCGTTACCTGCAGGGAGCCATCTGGGGACTTAGAGTCTCAAACCAGCCCTTACAGCACTGGAGATAGTACAGACAGCATCACCACAGTGGCTGAGCTTGTGTCTTCTTATTCAGCAGTCTTGGCCATAATCATGAGTTCATGGAAGGTGTCTACTACCCTGCTTATCCTGAGCCCACCTCCCAAAACCCCCAGCCCATTCAGAGTGCAACTGACCTTTAAAGGTCCCTTCCAACCCAAACTATTCTATGATTCTATGATCCATCTATGCAGTTGCTATTCATACAGCTGTGCTCTTTGAACACTAAGAATGATTGATCGTGGGCTTTAAAAGGAGGAAATGGAGTGAGGTGAGATGGAGATTGACCCCTTGCATAAGGGTAATCTTAAATTTGTATGACTTAGTCTTGGTTGGAGCCCTTGTCTTGAAAGGTTTCTGCAAGGAAGGTTGTGAAGGGCTGCCACGGATGCTAGAGGAAAGGATCTTGAATAGGAACTTGGGAAAACTGTAAATGGGGATGGAGGACAGTGGTTGGGCAAATTTGAAAAGGCGAATGACGGAAAACAAAAGTGAAATTAAGTGGGGGATAAAAAGAATATCAGAAAGTTTAGAGGGAAAAGTGTTGTTAAGGCATGAAATGATAGAAAATTGGTCTGGAGGAAAATGTAGTTGCTGTAGGTGAAAGTGGGAAAATGGACCACGACAGGGAAAAAAAAGTTGTTCATATATGAAAAGGGACAGAGGAATACTTCCTACACCATCCCCTCCAAAAATATGCAACTAAGAAATCACCCGGTGCTCCTGTGAAACCAGAGAACTTAGTCACTTTGACCCAAAATCTGATAGAACATCCCTTGTATCCTTGGTCTTTAACCGAGGCCTGAAGCGTTCATGGTCAGACTTCAGGCATCACATCTCCAGCAAAAGCCCAAAACTTCCCTGCAAAAAAGCAAACGTTCTGATTCCATTTTAAGTTTTGCTCAAAATGTATCATTGTACTTTAGCTTCGACGAATTCGTTAAAAATAATCCCTGCTGTAGCACCCACAGGAAAGAGTGGTTTATTTTCCCCTATTATAGATCTGACACAAGCCTGCTGTTATTTCTGTGCCCTCTCTAATGATCTGCTTGCTCTCTGGAGAGCACTGACCCATTTCAGCACAGAATAATTAGCCTTTCAGACACTACTGTGTTTCCATTAAATAGACATAAATGTGCAAGGTGACATTTATTTACTTAGGCCTGAAAAATGTGCACCACAGATGCTGGGGCTTGGGAGAACTTCCATTTCTTTTCATGCAACACTTGTATATTTGAATGCTTTCATGTCATTTAACCACTAGTGCTTTGCTGAAATGAGTCCTGATGAGCTTGGTTGGGGAAGCAGGAGAACACAAAGATTGTTTGGGTCTTCATTTCACCATAAGGCCTTTTGGCGATGCTTTGGTAGCCCCATTGCCCAAGCTCGACAGTGGCAATAAATGCAGTTATAGTTACACACTCTTCAGGTCCCTTTTACTGTGTGTAAGGAGGGACTCGTGTAAGGAACCGTTGTTGATTTACAGATCTGTCTGAAGAGGCAGCCCAGTGCCCGAGCTCGACAGTGGCATTAAATGCAGTTATAGTTACACACTCTTCAGGTTTCTTTTACTGTGTGTAAGGAGGGACTCGTGTAAGGAACTGTTGTTGATTTACAGATCTGTCTGAAGAGGAATGTGTTCAGGGTGTTACACTGAGAAAATGAGAACCTTGACCTATTGCAAACATAAAATAAAACCAAAATCCTTTAGTATTTAAAACCAGCTCTTTTATCATCTTCATCACTGGCTTCTGAACCACCAGACTGTTGCCCAGGTGAAAAGTATATTATTCATCTTGATAGCCACTTTGGTCTGCAAAGTTGGAGGGAAGTCTTACCCGTAAAAGTCCAGCCAGCATATAAAACGTGTAGGTTGCTTAGTCGTTCACATCCACACATGAAGACATGGCACGCTCTTATTTCATTCTGTTAGTGCCAATAGGCTTTATAAAAGGAGGCATCACGCAAGGTAGGTGCTTTATTGCAGGATGGAAACACTTTCATAGGTTATTTTAATCATTACGATTCTTTCATGATGTGTGAAAGTTGATTGTTGCTGTAAATGAAGCCATTGAAGGCTAAAAAATAAAAATGCTGTGATGGTAAAAATCTTTGGAGTGCAAAAAATGGGAATTGCTATAAAAGGCAGTAATTTATTCTCTGCGTGAGATTATTTTTTATCATAAGATGCTTTTAAGCTAATCATGAAACATATACAATTGTAGTCTGTATAGCTGAGGTATACTGCAAGATGCATTGATAATTTGGCTAATTTTTTATGCACTGTAATTTATATATTATTTAGAAGTACTATTTTATTCTGTTAACTGAGAGGCTTAACACATTTTTACAATGTTAAGGATAAGTTATTTTTGCAGGTTTTGTGGTTTTATTATTTTGACCCATATCCAGTTCATATTGCATCATAATACCCTATTTTTACTAATATTATTCTAGTATGTTTGAAACTTATTTGCATTTGGATAGAAATTCATTAGCTCTTGATTTTTATTATAACAAATTATTTTAACTTTTCTGTGGTAATGCATTCTCTGTGTTTCTGATTTGCTAATGCTGAAATATTTTGTTTTCGTTTTTAACCCTTCCAAATTTAGGATCGTTTTTGCTTTTTTTCTGTATATATACATTTCAGTTGTTAAGACCTACTGGTTCCTGCTTTTTCTTTTTCTTTTTTTAATATGTTTTGTTCGTAACTTCTGACTGTCTGTGTTGAGCCAATCTTACCGACAAAAATATCAGTTGTTTCCTGTTTCTCTACTTCTTTACAAAAAAAAAAAATGAAAAGTAAAAAGTAAAAATAAAAAACTCTTAATGGGAACCCTGGCACTGTCTGTCTTCTCTGTTCTGCAGAAATGTTGAAGGAGTTGAACCAGCAACGCAGAGCGAAAGAGTTTACAGACCTGAAAATTATTGTTGAAGGCAAAGAGTTTGAAGTCCACCAAAATGTTCTAGCTTCCTGCAGCTTGTATTTCAAGGACCTGATTAAAAGGTTTGCCTTCCTTCCAGCTGTGATCTGCTCTGTTCTTTTGTAGGGCGCATTTGTGTCGCTTTTTTTTCCTCCCCTCTCTTGCAGGTTTATGAAGATTGAATCTCCTGTCACAGAGCCAGTAGCCATTCTTTCCACCTCCTCTGAATGTATTTCCAAACTGAGACTCAGACCCATTTGTTACACATCTGACTCGTACAGTGTAATTATTTCTGATGAGTAGAGGCCGGTTTTGGCCGAAGAAAGTGTTTCACCACTGAGAGATCTGAGATTTAAACTCAACTGCTAATGGTGATTCAGACCACAACTGAAAACTATTGCTGTTGATGTTTTCAAGGGACTCTGTCACACCCGACCAAAGTCTGTCCTTGGGGCTACAATAAGCCATCAGTGTTCTGGTGAACGATGCTCAGATGTCATGCTAATAAAGCATTTTTGAGTATCGTAATCCCTTCACCCTGAAATCTTTGTTACATGGTTTTGTGTGGCTTTTATGGGCAAAGGGATTGATACTTTTATTATCTGGGGACTTTTAAAAGAAGAAAAGACAACTGATTAATTTCTCCAGAAAAGATTGGAAATAAGAGGATTTTCTGGTCAAAATCTAGCTCAGTCTGCATGTTAGACTAAGGGTAGTTTTTTCCGACAAACACTCTAGCTCAGGGTAGGTACAATATGTACATTTTCTAAACATCATGTCTCCGCCTTCGCATTTTCCCCCCTCTGTTTCTAGCTGATTGATTCTAAACAGTGCATGATAATCTTTTTTTTCCATTACATTGATTTTTCAATTTGTATGCTTCATATACTTGCATAGGAATAAATTGGTACTCTCGTATTATTAGTAAGTTAGAGTAGCAAGTAGGGAGAAAAAAAACCATGAGGATAACTTTCATTTTTCTCTCAATCATCAGCAAATTAATGCAGCTGCTGATTTTGCCTTGCAGTATTTTCCTGAGCAGACTGAGCCTGGACTGTGCTAAAAAATGGGATTAAAGAACATTTTGCTTGCTTCAAATCCTGTATTTAAATTTTGCCAACTAACACAATAGTGACTGTATTTTATTTCAGGATGGCATATTGGCTGGTATCTCCTTTCAGTGTATTATGTCCTTTTGCACAAAGCTGGTTTTATAATTATGGATATATATTACATTTCTATGATATAACTGTGCTGACTGCCTTATCAATTATTCATAAAAAATATGTTGGCCTAGGAAGCATGTCTTTTCCCCTCTGTAAATCTAATGATTGCTAGCTGTAGCTATGCCAAATCTCTCCTGTCCTTTCTCTTCTGTCTGCTCATTATCATTTAATTGTTAAGGCTACAGTATATGCTTTTTACAGTGATAAGGGGTAGAGTCTACAGGGAAAGAAAATCTTAGAATCAACTTAGAGAAATCCAATAACTGACTGGCCAAAGTCTGTCATTTGGATTTTGCTGTGAAGACATCTGTTTGTGAGCAGAAGTCACTAGGCAGTATCTATTTCTAGAAGCACACCGAGGAATGTTGCAGCTTTATTATTTAGTTATCAAATGGAGATATACTTTGGATTGAGCACTGCTCTGATATGAGCTCATTTAAAACAAAACAAACGAAAAAAAAAGAACAACCTTTTTAAATGCTCTGAAAAGAAACTATGAAAGCAAAGCCCTAGATTTCAGCATTTATTGTCTTTCAGCTGCTCACATAAGGCTCTCATGCGTTACAATAAAAAGTTTAGTGTATTTGCCAGCCTCACCACAGCCTTCTTTCACATCATCATCAGCAATAAATATTCCAGAGGTCGATTTGTGTCCAGAGTCAGGTCTGTCCATCCCAGTTGTCTTCCATATATAACCTCAGCTGCACACATGTAACCTTGATGAAGGCTAATGGAGTTGCACAGGTGTATCCTAGGCAAAAATACCTTTATTACTGATGATGATGCTTGAATAGGGAAAAATCCAGCTTGATGTCTAGTTGAGTTTGCAAAACTGTCAGGTGAGAAAAATAAATATTCACCTGTGAACTGAGCAAATGCGTCTTTGCAAGACAATAAAATCAGGGCCATGGGATGGAATTTCTGAAGAATTGCTTTTTAGGCAGTGGAAAGCCTAGTCCTTTTAGAAGTCAATGAAAGTCAAGGACTCAAGTTGCAAGAGGGACTCAGTATTTTGTAGGATCATGCCCTTAATAATACAAAATCATTATAGTTCACAGAGTCAGTATGTTTATTAATGCAGCATGTCTGGAATCCTCTCCTGTTAGCATCTCCTTTGAGGTGGTACTTTAAGCTTTATATGATTTTTTATCTTAATATTATTATAGAAATTAAAACAAAAAAATGGCAGTTTTTCTTGAAGAATACAGGAGATATCTTTATGTTAATATAAAGGCCATTTCAATCAGTGCATGCTAGGGTTAAACTCCAATGCCATTCCAACCGAGGCACTGATGGGTCACCAGAAATGTCAATGAGAAGATGATCTGTTCATGAAGGTGCTATGTGCATCCTCATAAACATGCAGAAAAAGAATATCTTTCAGAGTATTTACTTTGCCTGTTCTTTGCCACAGGCTAGTTATCGTTAACCTCATGTTCTGTCATTGATTCTACTGTGTGTTGGAGTTAGTATCTGATGGTAGAATAGCAAGTAGTCTCTCAAAAGAATAAAAGTGAAATGTTCAAAACCAAATAAGATCAATTATCCCCTCCTCAAAAAAACTTAAAGTATAGACAAAAAGCCTAATAGAACTAAAATCATTGCTTATTTTGAGGAAGGCTGCTTGATGAAAATTAGTCACAGCAGAGAAAAAAATATGTTATTTTTATTGCACAGTAGTGAAAAGATGATAACCAGGTTTGTTTGACCAAAACAATTCTGAAGTTATTTATTATTTATGAAACAAATTTGGTAATGAGAGCGCACTTTGAGACTCCCTCAGGTTAATCCTGCAGTGTGCTGAGCATTCTGGTCCTTGTCCAGAAAAGTTCTTGTTTCATGTGACTTTTCTTTTCAATATATATGAGCATAGATCTTTTGAGGTTGGGTTATTCTGGTCCTGAGCCTAAGATCAGCACTGTACCAGGCACTGAGCTGTTAGAAATGGGCTGACCGATCCCCATCAGGAGCTACACAGCACTCTCCCAACAGCAGCTGACCATAAAAACCACTCTTGGTCCTTCTCAGTGAAAAGAACTGAAATCCTGAAATCTGAAAAGGATTAGGTGTATTAGGAACAGCAGGTGTGAAATGTTCCTGACATCTGTTCCCCTTCACTGTGCCCACAAAGGCAGGAAAAGTGAGGTGCAGGGGAGGGATGGGGCTATGGGAAGATGTGTGAAGATGGGTGCATGCCCAAGGCTGGTCCCACAGTAGGACATATTGCAGTACCCTCAGGGGCTGTGGGGCTATCACTAACAACCTCAGGAACAATTTTATACAAGAGTAAACGTATGTGAGGAGTGCTAGGTTTCCTTAAGTTCTCTTCATAAAATCCTCTTTAAAGTATATTGTTTTTTCAGGTGAATATTTGAGCCTACTTTGTGACAGACAGGTTGGGGTACTCAGGGCTCAAGTACTTGGCCTTACTGCTTGCTCCTTAAGGTATGGAGCACATAGAGGAGTTGATACGCTTTGTCTGTGGTTAGGGAAATCACGTGACTCATCTGCTTCTTCAGACTGTCACTCATACAAGATTACTGTAGTACAGGACTTCAGGAGAAAATGGATGATAAATAGCAGTTAAAGTAGGGATCTGTCCCTTAAATACCATCTTCTGCAGTCTGAATTCACTGCCAACCACAGCTGTTTCCAATCTGCCTGACTTCAGCTCCTAATTCACACCTGTATTTTAGGTACTTAAGAAATCAGCCTTCCCAAAGCAACAACCTAATTTGTGGCACAGGCAATGAAAAGAAGACTCTTGAAGGAGCTTTTTCTCCAAATTTCTATGTCCAGGCAGGTAGGAGATCCCTCTGGAGCAATTTGAGGTACTTGTCTCTTTCTGTTGGTCAACCAGCATTTGGGTTCAAGTCTGATATCTAAGGCAGGTTTAGTCTGACTTTGCCTTCTAAGCAAGGTCAGACCTGCTCAGGCCTGTAGAGAGGGAAACAGACCTGTCAAGGAGGCACGTTCTCTCACCATAAAATAGATGTCTAAAATAGATGCCTAAGATATGAGGTGAAGGAGGCCATCACTCTTTTCTATTGAAGAGAGAGCTTAGACTATATAAGAGAGATTTGCTTAGACTATAAAGTTAAGATGGCTGTTACGGTGCTTCCTTCAGGGGTGCAGCCCAAGCTGGTTATCTAGGCTTCCTCTGCTGTTGTGAGGGAAGACAGGAATATCTGTAGGGCCATTCATCCCACCTTATGATAAATAGTGTGAATTGCCTTCTGGAAGTGCTCATTTTTCATTGCCCACGGAGAAAGGCCGGTCACCCAGCTCTAATTAGACACCTGAATTGTAGTTGGCTAAAAGTACATAAATGATTCCTTCCTGAAACTACTGTTTGTCTGAATGTCACACACATATGTAAGTACACAGGAAGAAAGAAGTATGTAGAAGTGCACTTATATATGTACAGACTTATATATGTACACAGAAAAAACAGATTTTGTTATTGAAACCAATCTTGTAGTTACAGCTCCTTAGTTTTGGGGGAGGAGAAAAATGAGCTCTGTGTCTGGTGGAAATGGTGGAAGATGTGTGTGTTCTGGAAGGAAGGAATGGAAAATCCCATGAAAAGGCATCATTTTTTTCCAGCTGTGTTTGGGATAGACAAATACAGCTGCTGCATAAAAGGAATGCCTGATATTTCCGTAACAAAGAAAGTTTCACCGGAACACTTTAATTTGCTGCTTTCTTCTTCTTAATCCAACCCAAAGTGCTGGAATCTCTACCAAATATGACATTAATAGTAGGAAGCACTTGACATAAGGCTGGTCTTGGCTGAAATTCTGGCTTTTGTAAGCAGACTTCAGTTTTATTTCTCTGCGGTCAGTTACTAAAGATAG